TTGTTTGTCCAATTGGACAGCGCATATATCCCCAAATGTTTAACAGGCAGACAAAGCATGCAGCATCATCAGTGGGCTTGTGCCTATGCATTTTTAAATTGTGCAAGACATGTTGATGAAAAGAAAGTATCCAAAGTGGCAAGAGGGACAGGATGGGATTATAGCTAGTAGGAGGCTGAGCAATGTGCAGAAGGAGGGGTACAGAGATGGGAAAAATGTGTGTTTGAATGAGAACAAGAGGGAGATCAAGAGAGGAGGGGTGCAACAAACAAAAAGAGCCGTGCGGGGGATTTCGCCTGATAAAATATGTGCCAATGTTGGTGTGAATGAAAGCAGTGACTATAGCTGAAAATCTACAGGGACAATGGCTACAGTGGGGTGCAGGGGAGAGGGGGAGAAGGGAAGAGAGGGAGGAAGCATGCTTTTAGGATTTACAAGTGCTAAAGGTTGAAAGCATGAGGTGATTACATTAGCACAGGCATAGTTTCCGTTGGTATGTACAGAGTCATAGAGATGCCAGTTTAGGCAGATTCACGAGAAAATACTGCCGACACCTTTCGATCCCAAAACCCGGGCAGACAGGCAACAACATACACACCACCATTCAATATATCAACTGTATTTGTAAACCGCACAGACATGATCACAACAGAATCAAAGAATCTCTATAATTGCATAGACAATAATCATCAATAGGTATTTGTAATGCTAGTAGTAGCAGTAGCACATAGCAAGAAGGTTGCAGATGTTTTTAGTGGTAGGGGAAATTGTAGAACATGAAGGAAAACTATGCAGACACATGGAGAACAGGAAAACTCTACACACAAAGATTCAGGGATCGAACCAAGGTCCTTCATAAAGCTGGAGTAACCACTGTGCCAACATGCTGCCCCAGGTGACTAAGTAAGTGCCTCTCTAAAAAAATCTCCATGCATGATTAATTCCATCTGACTTCACATGCCATGGGCAGTGCCAGCTCAGCTCCAGTCCCACAGTGATTTAGAGGAGCTGGAGGGATAGTGGTCAGGGTAGGAGCCAGACTGGAGGGAGGAGTAACAGAGAAAAATCATCATCTACAGTGTGACCATTGATCACTGGGGCTGGTGACAAAACAGAACAGTTCTGTTTACGCTTCACAACAAACTTACAAATTGGAAGGGAAGTGCACATGTTGTCCATTTTACTATTCACGTGTAATCAGAAAAGCTTTATGCTTCAGAAAGAACCTCCCAGTATAGCGGTGTACTTGAAGTTTGAATCATTATGAATACAACTGTGAAGCAAAGCCCCTGTTACCAAGGAAACTAGATGATAAACTAGAAATAAAAAAGTGTGTCTGAGTACTTAACCTTAAAAAGCAACTTACCTCATCTCACAATGTCATTTACTCAGAGTTTTGCAATCTGACAAAGAATTATCAAGCTGTCTCCACGGTCTACTATATCACACTACTGTAATTGTCCACCACCCATTAGCAAAACTCAAGGCTGAAAACATAACAAGCACTTTGTCCAATCCAGGTCAAGCATGTGAGGGAGCAGCGTAGGTAGCACACACAGAGTACTGTTCACCCAGTACAGAGACCGTCAGGGAGATAGATCTGTCCAAGACTCTTTGTCCCTGTCTCCCCATAACTGCTCCACTCTGAGGGATGTTTCTAACACAAGAGAGACAGGCTGATTCTATTATTTTATTCAAGTAGCCTACTGGTTCTGATTTTACTTTTACTTCTTATTTTTTAACCCAAACCCTTTCTGCTCCTTATATTTTCAAATTACTATTTAATATACAGATGGAAACACAAACTAAAATGAATGTGGTTAGCCAAATTTTGGATACCCATTGAAACCTTTCTTATAATGATATAATATTGTGAAACTGCTTCAAACGCAATGCTTAAAATGGCTCAAATAAATACATTGTTTGTCAATTATTCAACAAAAAGGACTTTAATTAAGAACATACAAAAGCTTCTATACTTTTACTCAAGTGAGGGAATGATTTCAGTAGTTTAAGAATCCTTGTATCTACTTTTACTTCAGTACCTAAGATGAGTACTTATGCCACCTGTTCTTTTTCAGCATTTCATGAATGAAATTAGATTAGAGCTATGCAATCACAACTAATACATTCATTTTAATATATTTTAGTAACTGAAAAAAATCACTAACTGTTCATTTCATAGACTCTAAAACATGAATACGCTGAGACTTGAGTAAAGCCTCAAATAGAGCAGCAATAGAATTTCAGAATATCAAAATATGAACCGGAGTTTCAGTACACCTCTTGGGTACCTGTGAGCTTTATGTAGGTGGCTAATCACTAGAGAATGATTGAATTTAAGGCCCAGATGACAAGCAAATAGCAAACATGTGACCACAGATGTGACTTATAGTCTTGTTTTAATGTTCAGTGACACTGAAATTATGATTGTATGTTATTTATAGGCTCACTCAGCCAGCACACCACATATGGCTGATGCGACATAACCTTGATGCTTTTGAACCAGAGTCCAGTTTAAAGAAAAAATGTAGGAAAAAATAAATAAAAAATCTATACAATGATACGCAATGTTGAGTGAACTGGCACCTGCATGCAGCCTGGCACAGAACCCCGAGTTCAAGCTGTAGGGCATGCATTCATAGAAATAAACGGTTGTACATGGATCACACGTGGCCGCAGGTCAGTGGAGCTGTAATATAATTGCCAGGACCAAGATCATTCAAGATATCGATGGGATAAGAAAGATGAGGCGCTTACATGGGCACTGTCTATGGTACTAGGACTTTCCTTGTCGCTACGCGATTTAAATAATTTATCTGTTGCACACAGACACGTAAACAATCCCACATTTAGACTGTTGTACCTTTGTATTTAGTAGTTCCAGGAGTCCATCGTGAGCTGCTTGGTTCGTTGGGCCAGCATTCTCTCGCGCTCTTGTTCTGTTGATATTCCCAACAGCGGCTGCGCGGATTTCTTCAACCCTGAAATCTTCTCTAATAATAATTTAAAAAATATATACAAATACAAAATCTACATTAGTGCCGTTTATGTCCTTTTAGCCTGTTTGAAAGCTTCCGTTTGCTCCGTGGCGCTCTCAGAAAATCCCCAGTCGTCGAGGCTCAGTCAATGTCTGCGCGCAGGCTGAGGACTTGATGTACGCGCTTTCTTCTCAGACGACGCAAAACATCTTGTATCTCCCACTCCCTCGGTTTAAAGTTGAACGACTGACCATTAATTTGCACCATGCCAATATTCTAAGTGATGTATATGAAATGCGAGGTAGGAGTAGCTTGGTTTGGCCTCGCACTGGCTCCCGCACGGTGAGAGCGCGCTGCACTTGCCACAGGGATTGTCATCCATGCAGCGCCATTACCCTATTCGGCCAGAGGGGGGCAGAGCTGCTGCGTGTTTCACATCCATGGTTTTCACCGGCCAGTGTTTGTTATGTGACTGGTGTGGCCTTCAAGAGCTGATGTGGAAATTACCAAACTGATGCATGAACACCGAACTAAATGTAAATGACTATTACGTATGTATTGAGTTAAAATCAAGTCTTCACACATAACTTACTCTTTAGCAGATACAAATAGCTAAAAGATAGAGTAAAAACACCCTAATGACAAAAAATACCATTACGCACTTTAATTAATTCATAAAATTATCACTTGTAATAGCATAGCCTCCAAACAGTCGTATTCTTTTGGGCTAAATATCTATCGATATTAAACTGGGGGGCAGGGAAAATGCCTTAAGCAAAATGAACTGACTGACCCCAGTGTCTGGCGTTTGTCGCCCCCTTGTGAGACTTACAGTAGACTAGGACCATAGACTGTATATACTAAAAGGACATGTTTTGAGAAAATATTATATATATATATATATATATATATATATATATATATATATATATATATATATATATATATATATATATATATATATATATATATATTATATATATATATATATAATATATATATCTATATATATATATAGAATTTCTATTATCACAGGGTATCATTCTCACATTGACATCATAAAGTGTAGTGATATATCTCAAACAAACACACACATGCACACACATGTATATATATTTATATAAATAAAACATTTTAATGGATTACACAATTCGCCATACAGAAAAGATAAAATACATTTAAAAATGTTAAGTACTACAAACAGACTCACTGTAAGGTTTGCAACATATCAGGCAATGCATACATTCAATAGAATTTCAACACAAATGTTCAAAAAGCACTTCAATAAATGCGTTCTGGGCTGTGTTTGGCTGGCCGGATAAAAATGTTATGTTTCCTATGATAAGCATTTGTAAATATGAGTGAGACAATATATCTATAAGAACATCAAAATCCCACAAGGCAGTGTGTGGTCAAGTGTAGCATTACAGGGCAGTGTTTATTGTACATAAAATGCTTAGTTTAAATATAAGATATGCAAACTTGAAAGGATCCTAATTGTTCACAAAGACAAATTTGTGAATTTGACAAATAACAATGAGTAATGGAAACAATAATGAATGCATTTTATTGATTACTGAAATTTATTGAATAAAAAAATAAAATCTGCTCCTCTATATGTGCGGTCCAAGATGTATGCTCATGTTTAATGAACTACTATTCACTTATTTAATGAGTGACGAGTAATTTGTAGTCAGCCAAAGACAACAATGGTCAATTTTTACCAAAAAACCATAAGGAAAAACTTGGGTTTTAAAGTCCTCCTGTAGCTAAAACTTCCCATGGGTCACAGTAAGGATTTGGTCAAACATTTGGTCTTCGAAGTGTCCATTGAAGGCTCTTCACAATTTCTTCAAAAAAGTTCCAATGATTTGTGGAAAACCAACCTTAAAAGTGGTCTTTGCAGTCAGCTCGTACCTTAGCCAGATGAAAAGACAGATTCAAATCACTCGCAGGTCCCTTTGTTTTTGAAATCCTTGACCCAGAATCCTCCTGGTTCCGTTTTTAGAGTGTATCAACTCAACCCTCCAGTGGTGGCCTCAGGGGAATACAACCATCCATCTCCAGAGACTCTGGCCAGCCTTCATACTTGTTGCTGGATTTACTGTTTTTCATACGCTGAGAAAACAAAAGACTCAAAAGTGAATACAAAAGATGTGTTTTTAATGCTGCTTTGCATCATAAAAACACTGTCATACTTGCTCAAATGGACTTTTGTTTTCAATGCCTTTGGCACCAACAAACACCCAGCTGTCTCTGAAGGCTAGCTCCTTCACTGCTGTGCTCCCCAGCTCCTCAAACAGTTTGCGAGCCTCATCATTCAATCTGATCCAAAACGAATTAGAAAATCATTTTTTTTAGAGCAGTACAGTACATCAAGTCCTAAAAGTCAAGGCCTTGTGAGCCTTTGGTCTCTGCGCTCCGTTTACAAATAAAATAAGTCAACTTATTTTGCCACTTGAGATTCGACTTTTCCCACTGGAATACCGATCGTAAAAGAGGTTAGGTATATAGGATAAAATGTTATGTTGATGGCCCTTCATAATTAGTTTTATCTAAAATTCTAGATGACCTAAAATAGTGGTCTTTTCACCTCTAACTGGGATATATTCCAGTTTGAATCTTCATTTCCCATCTTCAGTGGAAATGTGAATTCAATGTATGCAGGGCAGCAAATATATCCCAGTTATACTTAACTCGAATCCTCCCACTACTACACACCTGTACCAACCAGCTCAGATGGCACATTTACATACGTTTGCCTGTGGCAATCCATTAGTGTCTGGTGTACATTAACTACAAATTCGGTTTGGTCCGGTTTTGCCCAAAACCATGCAGATTCACAGGGGTCAACGTGAGCACAGATGTCAATCAACAGGTGAAATGAGCAGTAACTGGCTGCATTTTAACAGTATCTCCTCCCCATCTCCAGCTCAAGTGACAAAAGTGCGTTTCATGTCATAAGCTCATCACTTCAGCATCCATCACCACCAGAGTTTAGATCCTGGGGAATTTCCTATTGAATTCTGTCCTATATTGATCACGCTACAGTTCTGCCGGGCTCTAAGCACCAAAACCATATAGAATTTTCATGTGCAGTACCAACATGTCAATTTATACCATTTATACGTATGCCGGTCTAAGTGCCTATCCCGCAGTATCCAATATACTTAATGCAAATATGCCTTAATAAACATCATCCTAATGTTTCCTTTTGTGCAAGTCTTTCCAGAGTCTTGATATTGGGACTGGCTTGACAGTGCAATTACAAATGGCCACATCTTAAATTGTCCACAGCAACGTCAAGGAAATGCAGGCGGACTGTCACTTCCATACTTAATATCATATGGCGGGGCTTTTGTGCAGCGCTCTTTGATTGCTTCACTGGTTTTATTCTGGTTCACTTATGCTAAAAAAGTATAAACTTCTTTCCACTTTTCAGAAACAGAAGTGTGAAGCATTTTTCCACAAGTAAACCAGACATGTTCCTCAAGTGGGAGATGAGGCAATAATGAATTCTTTAGACTTGACTATATTTTCAAAGACTCTCCAAAAAGGCACAGTTCTCCTGCATAAAAAAATATTAATAACATGATTATTCACCAGTCACTACATAAGCGGATTAGAAAAATGCTATTATGTTGTTTTAATCCCTATGAGGAAATGTCCTTGTTCTTTTTACTATTACAGAAAGTTATTGTGTTTTACTACTACAGTAAGTTTTTTTACAATGGCTCTTACTTTGTAGCTGGGTCATCAAATGAGGCGACAAATACAAGTGTTCCTTCATGCAGTGGTCTAAGAAACTTTAACAAGTCTGACACATCTGTAATAGAGCAAGAAAACTATGAGGGTTTTTAGATGGCTCTGATGTGCCCAAATATGCTGTGCAGGTGTTTGTCATTACCTCCTGCCCACATGTCAAATGTTTTGGTTTCCAATAGTTCTCCAGTTACACCTGCAGCATGAAACAGAATTTATTAACACAAATGAGTCGTTAAGTGAATTGTGGATGCAAGAGTGTGCTTCACCTACCATTTGCTAAAGCTACATTAAGTCCTCTGCCTACATTGTCTTTTACACTGCTTAGTAACCTGTAACACAGAACACACTGATGATAAGTAAATACATTCAAAAGGTTCTTTCATCCAGAACTATTACCACAAAAGACAAAAATGCAAAACAAAATAGGCAAAAACAAAGTGGATGGATATTTCCATCGACTACAGCAGCAAAGTAAGTCCCACGAAGACAGACGGAATAGTGATATGTTTACTTTACACAGAAGAGAATAAAACATGTTTAAAAGAGAATTATTTTAGCATCAAAAAAGTACATTTACGAGATTTACAGCACATACATATTATAGTTTTTAATCAACGTGTAAATGAAGATTACAAAGCTCATGCAACAGACAGTGCAACATAATCATCGTTATTTTCATAGCACATTGCACAGGCCAGAGAGCTTTACAATTTGTAACATTTTCAAGCCATAGCTACCAGAGGAAACACAGGGAGAACATGCAAAATCCACACAGAAAGGACTTGTTAAGCATGAGCATTAATGGCAGCATCTTTGGTTTGGTTTAGTCCAAACAAAACTGAACTCATTTCGTAAAAACATAAATATAGAAAATAAACACAGATGGAAAAGATCAATCTGGTGTTCTATCTGTGCGGAACTCTGAAATGGTAATGAACTTGAAGTTTAAACAAAGAAAAATGGTCATTAAGAAAATAAACCTGAGTATCGCCTTCAGGTCTCAACACCTCCTGATCAGAGCCAAGACTTAACCAACTGAGCTATTTGAACTGTTGCACGCGATTTGTTTGTAAATTTCAAATCATTCTGCAAGTAAAAAATTATGAACAAGCCAATCTGTTGTAAAATTGCATTTTTAATTGTAAAAACTTTCTCCAAAATTGAAAATCATGTGTTCTTTTTAGCAGATTTGTGTATTTAAATATTGCTCTAAATTTTTTCCTTCATCTTAAAATGAGGCCCTAATACGCAGTAACACAAAGGTCTCATTGTTAATATACAGTGGAAAGAAGCACCAAACAACAGCATAAACCATCGGCACATTAAACTCACATTTTGTCCTCTAAGCAGATTTTGGGACCAATCACATTGGCAGCACCAGACACCACACGGAAAGCCAAGTGCTTCGCAGGACAGGGCGCTGACAGGCCACATTTGTACCGTCGTGGACGAGCTTCAACTATCAAAAATGTATTACAACTTACATGCATGAGTTTTTTGCAATGTAGAGTGGAGTTTATACATACCAGATGTTGGTTGTTCGCTTGCACCTGTAACATAAAATATAATTAATACGCAGAGTTCCTTGTTATTCTTGGCATGTTTATAAAAGCAACTAAATAATAGTTGTTAATTGGTCGATAATGTGTCAGTAGTTTGAACTAGTGCAAAAGTGATTTTATTGTAAATCCAATATAGATTTGTATGGGAAATGAGCTAAAATGAAAAAGTATGGAGTATTGTAGTTACTTTGATATTAGAGCCAGAACAATCTAACAATTCATACGTTTCCCCATCCATCCATTTTCTTCAGCTTCATCTCTTGCCGGGTCCTTAATCTATTAATAGCCAAATATTGAAGTGATTTCATAGCTAAATAAGCATTGATTTAAAAGTCTTGATTACAGTTTGGCTGGTGCTCTGTGAATTGGGTGCAGCTCTGACTGCCATCCCCCGACCCAGAAATGGATTAAGGGAAAGAAAATGGATGACTGGATGGATGGAGAACAGGTCAGATCGGTAATCATGTTGGTCACAAGCCTTACAAAGAATATTCTGTGCTATACTACAAGTTATTACATTTGAATAAGCTTCCAAAATAATTTAAAACAGATGCTGTACGTACCACCAAAGAAACTACGAATAGAGTTATTCTCGCCTCCAAAAAAAGTATTTCCCAAGAGCCAGCTAAGCCCCACTAACAAGAGCACCACCACAGCACGTAGGGGACCTAAACAAGAAATACAAGATTGTGAGTTTACAAAACCCTTTTACAAAACCAGTTCACCTAGAACTCCAGAACATACTAACCTGTTACTCTCATGTCTACTGCTTTTGAAACCTAGAAGAACAACATTTGCCAATTAGTCACAAACAACCAGATCATTATAAGACACTATTATTTTTATTATTAGTATGCTATTTAGAAACACATGCAAAATAAGCTTATCATATCAACTAACTTAAAAACGTGATGAAGTTAGTTAAGCTACACACATATATGATTAGAGCCATTAAATTATACTTAAGGCCAACTGTATCTTACCCTTCGTGCTCAAAAAAGTATTATATCTTTTTAGGCGACGCTCCAGAGGTTCAGTTCAATGGAGAAGCTGAAGCTTTTCCTCAAGGGGCTGGTCTATTTTTTGCGCTGTTTCCTCATCGGAGCGATTTCAGCTATAAAAAACACGCTGCTTTTGGTTGTTGAAGTTTGAAGTGTTGAAAAAAACCAATGGCACATTCTTTGCTTACTGTGATGCGGATTTCATGCCGCATTGAAGATTTGTGTTATTTTTCTCGTCCTCTTGTTAATTCATTTGTCTTCCGGGTACTCTTGACAACCACCAACCTGTACGTCCGGAGCATGCGCATATGAAGGAAAGTCATCATGGAACATAGACGGAAAAAAACACTTCAAAACGGCTCAAAATTAAAACTTGAAATAAATAATAAACAATCTTAGACGTAGCATTAAAAATATCATATCATTATAACAATATGTATCAACATGCACATACCCCGTGAATTTATCAATAACATTTTTAACAAATTATAATAACAAATAATAACAAATAATAAAAACATATGCAAGTAAACGTCTATGGGGGAAAACCCTAAAACAATATAAATAAATAAATATCTGAGTAAATACATCCTCTCGTATTCTTTTTGCCCTTCCCTCTCATTTTGTGAGCTAGATGTCTCGTAAGGGGTTTAAATTTTACTTGAACTTTACTTGGGGCGACTCGAATTTTATAAAAGGTACATTTTACAGCACACGGAGGGAAAAAAGGGGTAAGGAAGGAGGTATTTATGTATTTAGACTGTACTACGCCCCCTACTGCCCACTACACGTCTTCACCCCAATCATCATGGCTGCCCACAGTGCTGCGATTTCGATGTCCAAAATCATCAGTCCTCTTTGGGGAGGACGCTTCGGGACTGCGGCTAAAGTAGGTTTTAAAAAAGACTGATTGTGCGTTTTACTATTTATTTTTAAGGTAGCTGTCTAATTTCGGGCTAGAATTCGTTTAATTTAACGCAAGGTCAAATACTTACCATTAGCTGTCATTACTAGCTACTGCTCATACACATTGCAACAAATATATGCTCTAATAGTAAGTCTCACATTTTGCTTAAGGTTTTGGGGACAACAACAGTGACAAGTCAGAGGAACAGGTCAATCCTCACTGTAAGTATGGGATGTCATTTTCATCTTCGTTTCTTGATGTATAGTGTTTTGTTAATGCATATTCTGGCATTTATTTTCTATACATTTAACTTTATCTTGTCTTTGGTGTTTTACTGATTCTTTCATTTTCTTCTTTGTGGTGGTGATCAACTTCAGGGAGAACATATCGTAAGTATTACTCTATTTGGTTATATGTAATCACTGGAATACAATGGATGTATCATGTTTGTAAACCAGCAACATTGAATTAATTTATTTCAGAATCATTTATTGACCAACCCAGTCATAGTTTGTCAGATACATCATATGCATTGTAACAACTTTTGAGACCAATTTTCTTTCTTTATTACAGCCTCCTCCAGCTAAGTATGGAGGCAGGCACACTGTCACTCTGATTCCTGGAGATGGGATTGGACCAGAGTTACTCAGTCATGTCAGAGAGGTTTTCCGGTGTGTAATACAAAAATATCTCTTAAATGTCAAGGAAAATATTGACTTATCCTGCAGCTATGTTTCACTTACAGGTTCAGCTGCATCCCTGTTGACTTTGAAGTAGTAAACGTGAACTCTGCACTGGAATCCGATGAAGACATGGATAATGCTATCACTGCCATCAGGCGAAATGGCGTTGCCCTGAAAGGTAATTTTATTTAATACAAGAAAGGCTCAGAATATATAACTGTATTATTATTTTTATTGTTATTATAAAATGATTATGTAAACTCTATAGACATGACATTAAATTCAAGGCAGTACCTGAAAATATTTATCTTAGCTTTAGATCACACAGAATAATAATAAGTAAAGTTACATAAGTGCAAGGTTCTAAACAATGTAAATGTTTTTTTTTTTTTTTAAGAAATAAATAAAATAAAACTAAAAGTAATTGCAGAGGCTGGCATGGGCATATTTTATCATACATGTAATATATGAGGAAGTGTGCAGCAAGCCCATAGCATCAGGAGAATGCTTTTATCTCTCCACTCATCGGTATCAGTGGTGTCTTCTTAAACAGAATAAAACATGTTTATTCTCTCTATGCAGTCAACACCTATAAACTATAAAACAAAAACATACAATTTAGCTCATCACATTTACCAAGACTAATATTGCCGTGTGCTGCAACTTTAACAAGCGGTAGTTAAGCAAAACTTAATTCTGTGACCCGATGACCAGAAAAGTCAAAATTATCATTAATTAACTTATATGCCATCACACTGATCAGGAAAGGCGTGTTGTCTTATGCCCTGTCCACACGAAGTCAAGCTCAGGCCTAAACGCAAAAATACTTTATCAATCCAGTGTATCGTCCATACGAGGCCGGCGTTTTGGGGGGGTGTAAACGAACATTTTTGAAACTAGGTCCCAGAGTGGAAAGATTTCAAAACTCTGTATATGCCGCTCCGTGGTTACTGCCTCTCCGCAATGTATCTGAGACGCTTGCGTCATCGCCCCGCCTCTTGTTAAAGCACGCATGCGCCGCACTCAGAAAATAATGACAACAACAATGTAGCTTGTTGGTTTTGTAATCCAGTGTGACCCGAAGCAACAGTTCAACCTCATCGTCCGTCCATACTAATGTAGTACCAGCTCGCCCACTCGCCATGTTGTCTGTTTACAAAATTCTGCGCATGCCCACGGAAGTTTGGGCTTGATCCCGTCATTGCGTCACAGCGCCACCAACAGGTCTGGCATAGTTTCACAGCGTTTTCAGGCGTATTGACTACATTCATATGGACGCACACATTTACTGAGCTAACTCCGTGTTTACAGAAAAAGTTTCTGAAATTATAAGCGTTTTGTCTTCGTGTGGATATAGCCTAAATGTGGGAGTATTGGTGCCTGTAAGTCATTAAACAATGATCCAATATGGTGTTGACTGCAAATTACGAAACAAATAAACAGAAACAAATGTCATCTATGTAGTTCACTGATTGCAACTGAGTGCAGTCTACATTAGATATTTGAGTGCATTTGTTCTTTTTACAGGTAACATAGAAACCAAACACACATTGCCACCTTCAGTGAAATCCAGAAATAATGTGCTCCGGTAAGATCGTCAATAGATGTCTTTGTTTCCCTTTAATTGACTCATCTAATTAGATAAATGTTATTTTCTTGTCATGTTTTTATCCTTTCACATATTGAATTATTGGTTGACCCACATACTTTGTCTTTACAGCACAAGCTTGGATCTTTATGCCAACGTGATGCACTGCCAGTCTCTCCCTGGGGTTCAGACTCGACACAAGAATATTGACATTATTATCATCAGGGAAAACACTGAGGGGGAGTACAGCAATCTGGAGCATGAGGTCAGAGCAGCACAACTCTCAAAAAATACTTTTGCTTTTACTTCTATTTCATTAGTATTTAATGTGTTAAAATTGGTCTCTATTCCAGAGTGTCTCAGGTGTAGTGGAGAGTCTTAAGATCATCACCAGAAACAATTCCCTCAGGGTTGCAGAGTATGCCTTTAAACTGGCTCGTGAGAAAGGCCGCCGCCGGGTTACTGCAGTGCATAAAGCGAATATAATGTGAATAATAAGTCGTCATTTGAAATATAATCAACGTGGGCTGACTTCTAAATGGGTTGCCTGTGGTCTTAATAGGAAGCTTGGTGATGGTCTATTTTTGCAATGCTGCAAAGAAGTGGCCTCAGGCTATCCAGACCTCACGTTTGACAGCATGATTGTGGACAACACTACTATGCAGGTATGGGCCAAGTTCATTTTACATGGTGTTTGTCTGATGTCTGGAAGAAGCTGGCATTAAATGGACTCCTGCTTTTGTTTGTGTCTTCTAGCTGGTGTCCAAACCAGATCAGTTTGACGTGATGGTGATGCCTAATCTGTACGGGAATGTGGTCAGCAATGTTTGTGCTGGTCTTGTGGGAGGGCCTGGCCTCGTGCCTGGTGCCAATTATGGCCGTGACTATGCTGTTTTTGAAACTGTAAGCACTTTCAATCTTTAAAAAAGGAAAAGTACAATGTATGAATATTACATAATGCTGAAGCGGATTCTTGTTGTCCAAATTTACAGGCCACTAGAAATACAGGCAAAAGTATTGCAGGCAGGAACATTGCTAACCCTACAGCCATGCTGCTGGCCGGTTGTATGATGCTCGACCATCTGAAGTAAGGATTCATAACATTCACTTTTCACAATGTCTAAAAGTATCTATTTCAACATTATGCATTCCTTTTCCTCAGGCTGAATGATTATGCTACTCTGCTCCGAAACGCAGTCCTCACCACCATGAATGAGACCAGGGTGAGTTTCCTTCTCGGATAGCTCCCTCCTCTTTACACTGTCAATCTCATAAAGGTCTACACACATTGTCATTTGTCAAAGTGGCTCAGAGGCACTAGTGGCAGGTCTGTCATGTTTCCTCGTCGCATTACACAAAGCAGTTTTGTGTGGGGCCATTAGTACATTGCTTTATGAAGTGTGCCATTGTCTGGTATCCGATTTTACATTATCCCCACATTGGCATTAATTACAATGCTTGTAAAACATGATCTATACATAGCTTATTATCCACCAGTGAGCATGCTTCTGACTTTATTGCTCCCTTGTGAATACATTATGATAATGAAGTAATAAAATGCTTGTCTTTCAGAGTGCTTTTTAGTGTTCTATTCATATTCCACAATTGTAAAGGCTGTTTTATCTTTCAGCTACATACTCCAGATATTGGGGGTCAGGGAACGACATCTGATGTGGTCCATTCCATTATGAAGAATATTCAGAGTAAAGGACAACTCACTGCTGACTTATAGAAGCTCAACAAAATGGATTCCCCACAGGTGCACAATGAGAGGATTTTCAACCAGTGCTGCTCTGTCATAAATTAGCACATTTTATTATTCATATTGATTAGCATTTCAGAAAATGCCTGTTACTTTCATACTATAATGTACATCAACATTCTGAAATATAAGACAACATTTCTGTGGTTCCAAAGCTGCTGGTAAACAGTTTTGGAACTGAACTACATTCATGTCAGATTATGTTTTATTTTTAAAATGTTAAGAATAAATGTTAATCTCTCCCTCCATGAACTTTTAATTCAATGTCTTAGTGATTGTGGGAGATGCATGGATTGACAACATATACTTGTATAACCAAATAAATATATTGTATTTAGTGTAGAGCAAGTTACTCAACATTTGTATTTATTTTTAATATTACGATTTATAGTGATGAACACATGTACTGTAAGATTTATTTATTTTTCTTTAAAATGTGTTGCACCACTTTGAGTTTGACAACACTAATAATTATGGAGGCATACCAAGCAGTAATAAATAAAGAACAGGGAAGGAATGCAGACAGTCAGTTCATACAACATAGAAAACTAAATACGAGACAATATTGAACAAGACGATAAAATGCAAAGATATTGAAAGAAGTGGTTTAAAAGAGGATACTCATTTCCTCAGGGAGCTCATTCCAAAGCCGAGGAGTCCAGACTGAAAACACAATCATGTATGGAGCCTCTGCTTTGGAACAGTGAAAAGAACGAAAACTATTGTATTTAATGATTTACATTGTATTTGAATAACTAGTTCCATGTTACTATAATGCTCCCTTTATCAAATGAATGAATTATAGTGGGAGAACCAAGCAAACCTGCTGTGACTTGAGTTACACACTACTAGAAGCACATTACAAAGAATATTGTTATTATGGACTTACTTCAAAAGGGGAATATACTACAGTAAATAGTGAATTGTATCGCTTTTCTTGCTGCCATAAAAAAGTCATAATTTATTTAGCAGTAGAAATGACTTGTCTGATTATCGGTTTAACAGTAATAAAATTGATCCTCCGACATTCTGCTTCAGCAGACGAGAAATGTCTCTCAAAGGGTCCTGCTCCCTGATCCGTATGTTTGTTTTACAATTTCACGCGCCATCAAATTTCTTCTTGAGAGAAGCAGCTGACATGTTGTAAGTACGCATCTGGACACTAGGTGGCAACACTAGAATCTGTCAGAGGTTTTTCTGAATCCTTACAGATATATAAAAGGATTTTCTACTTCTGGGTGGATCATCAAGACTACTGGTTCTCCCAATTGTGTATCATTCCAGTGATCCATGCTCGTCAAATAAGAGTTTATTTCAATAAGTGGAGAGGGCGGTTCTTTCCTAAAATTTGGTGGAATCCTTCTATTTACCTTTTAATCTGACTAAAACAATTAAGATTAAGATATCACCACAAATTCTTACAAATATCATTATTTAAGAATATTCACGCTAATCATGACCCACTGGTACACACGTGGGACACTAGGAAAATGGAGGCCCATCGATCAGTGTCTGAGCTTATAAGTTTAATCATTACATTCATAGAACAAATATATATTTTCAGATGTTTCATGATTAAATACTCTTAATATTAAAGCTCCTTTCAAGTCTGCACAAGCATTAACTGGTTCAGAACATCTAAAGCTATCTAATATGATTCATGTTTTACAAAAGCAGTCAGCAATTTCCCAGTGTTTCATTTGTAAATAACACTTTCAGTTGCTTTACGCCATTATTTGTAGAAAAAGCTAATAAGTCTCATAAACCGCAAAATAAGATTTATTGGTCTTTTGAAAGTAAGGTTAGGGTGAGGTTAGAAGAGCAGATGGCAGGTTTTAAGCCTTATTTATTTTTATCTCAGTATTTATAACAATATCTTACCGATAAATTTACTGATGTGTAAATGCATTATTTATTAGTTTGGCAGTACAAAAGTTCACTTAAAATGGTCTCTTTTGTTGATCATATCTGCGTTTAGGCTTCGGCCACTCCCCACTATATTTTTCTTCTAAGACTAGAGTGAATATTATTGGCCCAGTCTCCTGTTTAAAGTTTTTCAATATTTGATTTAATCTTTCAGTTACAGACTCAGAGGAAAAGGGTGTCTCTATAAACTCCATGAGGGTAATAATGTTAGTGATAAATCTTTCAGCAGTAACCTCCCACTCTAAGAATATTAATAATATTGTTCCACTCCAGGTTATAGTATCAGACCACATCGAGTTCGGAGTTCTCAAGAGGTATGACCTATATATTTAACCATTGTCTGTTAAAATTAAGTTATTGTAATACAGTGATTACATTTCCACACACTTTTCACAATTAAAAGTTGTTACCAATTTGTAGTAAAAGGTTAGAAATTAGCCAAGTACCTCCCGTTGCATGAGATTGCCGATTCAGAGCTATAGTGACAGTACTGTACTCGAACAGCAGCATGGGTTGACTAATTATTCCCCTTCTGACTGTTAAAGGGCAGTGTTTCTTTTTCCACTTTAGTTGAGCCCAAAACGTCAACAAGTGCTGTAGCCAGTGTAAAAACTGAAGTCTGTTTTTTCTACTATTGCCAGCTGTCTGTCCCTCCAGTTACATTCGTGTCACTCAAAGCTCCTTCAAAGAGAAGAGTTGGCTCATCAGAGCTCAGCTTGTTTCTCTTTCAATTTATCTTCATTAAATTCTTTCTCACTGTAGATTTACACTGACATACAGCGTCTTCCACTCAAGGACCTGTACCTCAAATCCCTTCGTATCACTGTAAATTGAGGACACATTTCTCCCAGTCCTGCTCGAAAGGCCTCTCCCGGCTGACGTTTCCCTGGGCCCTTGGGCGGACGATCAAATGTTTGTACAAAGGGAATTATTGCTACAGACCATGACCTGCAGCGCTGGCTGTCATTCAACACACAGTCCTCAGATAAACCCAGGACAAGTTATATCAAACAATATTGGTTTGTTAAGACAATGTTATGGACACATTCTTTATTACATTTTTATTAAAGGTCTTGAGATGATATTCATTTATTATTATCAACTCGCAACATTGATAGTAAGAGCATGTTATACATAATTGCAAAGCAAATTCAATAAAAATATAAATCAATGCACTAGCAGTGTACCACTCCAAGCATCCAACATTTGGTTCAGAAAAATTTAAAAGAAAATATGTATTTTTATAAAGATATATCCACAACAAACTTTCCACAAGAAAACAACATTTATACATTCCGCCTCTGACCACCTCTCAGTTCCAGACCAAAATGAGTTTGACATCCCCGGTCTAGATGTTTCAAAAGACATTGGATTTTAAAATTAAGAGATCTTATCTGTACCAACCAGATTATGCGTTGGTTGGATATGATTTGGTGTGTCTGGAAACATACCAGATAAACCCATATTTCCTTTTGCTTGATTAATTTACTTCCAAAAATCCACAAAAGAGAACTTCTACTTCTACGGCACTACACTGCTACTGTTTTCAAGCTGGATTTAAAGGAAATTGAGTTGCCAGAAATGTGTGATGGACTTGTTTTGTTATCCTTGACCTAATTATTGTAGCCGTTTTTATTGGCTGTTGGAGCTGACTGCGGGCGCCTGTCATGTGTCCACACTAATTGTTTCCGGAGAATTTTTTTGTATAAGTGTTATTTTCTTTAAGCCTCGACCTGGTAACTGCCAACATCCAATTTAGTCTAGTGGAACTTATTAAAACGCCTTCAGTCTGTTCATTCCTTCCATTGTGTTCATTCAACGATGCAATATTTCTTTTCCCTCTCTTCATCTCCCATTAGTCTGCTACCTGTAGGATTTATACAATTTGACTCACGCTGTGCTGTTTAAAATTAATTGTAATTGCCCTATCAACATGTTTTACAAAATATTTCACTTGCTATGTCTTCTAATAAGACCTGCAAAGACACACTGTGATTTATACTGTAAAAATCTTTAGAAATCCTAAAACATACATGAATAAATCCCATACTAACGATGAGGAAATACTGGTACTCTAATTCATATAATTGGCCCCATTTGAATCAAAATATGAATCTATATATGTGCATTTAAAAATTTCCCAATTACCCCACAGCTTAAGTGGTGCATGTACTCGTCAGGCATGAAAAATATAAGCTGTATTTCTGAAGCTTACCCAACAAAATTGTGTGTATAGCATAAAAGGGAGGACTGTTTGACAAAATAGAAGAAAGATTTAGGTTACGAAAGTGTCAGTCCAAATTACTGTTAAGAAACACACTGTATTTTAGTGGGCTGCAGGTGAAGTTAATCAATCAGGGCCTCGGCTCATGGCACAGCAGCTGTATCCAGTCACCGGGCATGTGGCTCTGTGCTAATGGGACCCTCTTCCTCCCCCATGGTTCAGCTCAACTACAATAAGCTACGTCACTGCACAGCTATCCTTTCTCTCCATCTGTGTGTCCTTTTGGCTTGGTCTTAATAAGTTCTTCCACTGTCTTCTCCTGCAGCAGTGACGGGTCTAATCAGAGAGGAATTATGAAGGAGGCGAGATGGTGGCTGGGGTTATTTGCCTCGTGCTAGAAAAAAAAACAGGTCCAAAAAATGGCACGCAGATGGATGAAGAGGAGAGAACAGAGGATGTGAATGGATAGAGTAGGGTGAGCAGGCTAATTGAAGGTATATAGCGAGAAAACTTTATGAAAAGTTTGAGGTTACGAATATAGAGATGATCATAACTTTATGTCAGATGACCAGAACAAAGCATTTATCCAAAATAAATATTGTATACTGGTAATACTTTCCCCGTATGGAACTTGTTTATGGCCGGAGTAATAACAAATGCTTCCTGTTAAGGTTTGTCTGCAGTTCAGTGCGTTATGTTTTTAGTTATTGTAACTTTAGACGAGACAATCTCCCAAACGTGTGTTATTTTAGGTCATCCTGTTTCTGCTTGAACTTCATTTGGCATTAAACAGTTACATAAGACAGGGGTTCACAATAAG